GTCATTGGGGGTTGTGAGATCTGGGCATAACACAGAGAAGTGGGCTCCCAGAAGGACCAGGCACAAAGCAGGATATGATAACCCTCAGCTCCCCTGGACACAAATTTGAGGTGCCCCAAGCTTCCCTTAACAGAAGTGACTGGGACAATCTTGTAGGCTGAATGAACCTTAAAAAATACATACCAGCAGTTCTAATGAGACATCCTCAAGACAGGTGTGAGAGCTCTCCTGGACATGGCGAGGAGCCCCGGTTCCCCTGGAGATGGTGTGGGGTCTGAGCAGCCTCTAAAGCATCATGGGGCACGTGACTCTCAAGCTCCCGCAAGCTTCTCATCTTTTCAGCCTATGGCGGTTACCTTAATTGGAAGCTGATCACCCCTCCACCAGACCCTTTTTCCAATGCGGCTTACCAACCCTGCCCTCGCTATCTTGAGGTATCCAGAGGGGTGAGGATGCCCATGCCTCTAGGAGCTCGGACAGTTCCTGGAAGGCACAGGTTGCCACAAGCAGGGGCCTGCCTGGCAGGGAGGAGAGCAAGGGGTTGGGAAGATTTGTGTGTCGTGCCCTAAATGATTGTCATGCTCCACTCCTCTGTAGTCTGGCTGTTCACCTCCGGAGCCTGGTCCCTGACTCGTTTCCACGTGGAGTTCAAGTCCCAGCTCCTCCTAGGTAGCTACTGGACCTGGTCTGTGGTATCCCTGCCTGGGGGGTATGGCCTCTTTCAGAGCCTAGCTCCAGAGATCTGGTCCCAGGGCTTCAAGGACTAGTTTGGACCTGTGGTGGCCTGGTCCTCCCTGCCAGGAGAGGCTTCTGGTGCTGTGGGTTGGACCTGCACTGCAGGGCTGGGGTGTCTGGGTGCTTCAGGGTGGGACATATGTATGACTTTCCACTTCATGTTGTCTTGTAGTGTAGTACCCCGATCACAGGACCCCGAGTAGACCACCGAAGATCCAACACACCAAAATGCAAAACACAAAGATTTGTGGTTTATTCGGGCTCAAGCTCAGGCTCTTAGACTTCACCAAGAGATCAGATCCATACCTAGAGCCCCGAGCATGGGGGTAGGGCCTTTTTATAGGTTTTAGACAAAGGGAGGAGGGGAGTACCGAAAGTACATTTTGGTTGGCTTACAGAGCCCGCGCGCTGCACGCGAGCGCACATAATTTTGAACTCATTGGTTGACGTCGGATGCAACTCAGCAGGTCCCTCATTGGCTAGGGCCACCCTCAGGGCTGTGGAATGTGCTGACTAGTATCTTGCAAGGTCAGGGACCTATAATCTTCCTTTTAAGGTAGTTGCATGCCCGGGCTTGCTTGATCTATCCTTTGCAGGAGGGAGAGGGGTTGGGGCATGTCAGAACATGCCTGGGGCAGCCAAGCAATCAAGCAATTTTACAGAAGTGAAGCACAGCAGGAGTGGGGTTATTGAAGATTGAGGGGAGCTTGGTCCCACAGTAGGATGGTCCCCTCTGGCCTCAGTTTCCCAATCTATAAAAAGTGAACATAAAGCCTGCAATCCTAGCTTCAAGGGAAGCAGAACAGGAGCATCCAGGTTTCAAGGTCTGCCTAGGCTACATTGTGAGTTCAAAGCCAACCTGACTAGAGTGCAGCTGGTTGGTGGTTGGAAATTCCTTGTCCTGCTATGTAGGGAGGGCACAGATTCAATCTGTGGCAGCAAAATGAACATCAAACCTGAGGGTGGCCTGGGGATGTGGTACAGTTGGTAAAGTGCTCTCCAAGCATGCATATAGCCCTGGGCTGACCTGTGAATCCCAGCACTCAGGAACTCGAGGCAGGAGAATCAGAAGTTCAAGGTCTTCCTCAGCTACATAGTGAGTTTAAGGCCACTTTTGGCTACAGGAGACCTTGTTTCAAAAGAAAAACAAAACAAAGCAAAAAAACACAAAAGCAAAATAAACCAAAAATAAAAAAAAATAGCTGGGCATTGTAGCACTGACCTTTAATCTCAGATCTTTGTGATATTGACACCCTGGTCTACATAGTGAGTCCCAAGCAGGCCAGCTGTAGCTACAGAGAGACCCTGTCTCAAAAAGACAAAATAAGTACATGAAAGTTTTGTTGGGGTAGTTCACAACCACTACTCTAGCTTGGGTAATCTGACCCCCTATTCTGGCCTCTGTGGACACCTGCACTCATTGGCTCATATACACACATAAACATAATAATGATCTTTAAATGTAAGCAACATTCAGGGGCTGGAGAGACAGCTCACCGGTTAAGAACACTGACTTCTTGCAGAAGACCTGGGTTCGAATCCCAGCACCCACATGGCAGCTAACAACTGTGCATAACTCCAGTTCCAGGGGATCCAACAGCTTCTTCTGTCCTCTGAGGGCATTGCATGATGCAGATGCACTTACATTCAGGCCATAACACTCATACATATAAAATTAAAAATAAAATACCAAAAAAGAGCAACATTCACACAAATACTTGTGCACACATGTTCACAGCAGGACTGTTCACAATAATCACATGTTGAAACAACTTAAATATCCACCAGCAGGTGAACAGATAACAAATGCAGTCCATCCACACAGGGGAGCGCCAGCTGGCCTGAAATTCCCTATGTAGACCAGGCTGGCTTCAGTCTTACAAAGAGCCACCTGCCTCTGCCTCCAGAATGCAGGGGTTAAGGCATGCCCCACCAGGCCCAGTGGAAAAGTTACATTGTAGATAATACTAATGTATAAAACAGGGACAACAGAGAAGACCCTTGAGGCAGGAGAAGGTTGAATGTTTGCTAGTGGGGTTTAGGTTGATAAGATTTTGAAACTAGATAAAGGTGACAGTTTTTATCACTTTGGGAAGTACGGAGTATTATGAAGGTACACACTGGGGCTGAGTGGTAGTGATGGGTCAGTCTGGAGTGCTTGCAGGTTAGCACCTGAGATCCATTCTCAGAGCTCAAGGAAAAAGTCTAGCAGGTTGAGCACCTGTCATTACAGATCTCAGCAGGTGGAGGCAGGAGGACCAGGATTCAAAGTGTGGAGGTCAGAGGCTCTACGTGGAGTTAAAGGCCAGCCTGGGCTACAAAAGACCATGTCTCACAAAAACCTAGAATGAGAAGTTCTGAAACAGAAAGCAGGTTACTGTAACCAGGTGAGTAGAGATTAGGTCAGAAGTGGGCAGGGCCCACAAGAGGTGGGGGTCTTGTGTAGCCTATATTCTGTTTGGTGCTGTGGAAGAACCAGGACAAGTATGGCCCCAGGAAGCACACCTTCAGCCCAGTTTCTCAGAACTTCCCTTTTTCTGCCTGTGGTTCTTCTCATAGTGAGGATATCCTTCCTGAGTTCTCTTGGTAGCTGTTTGTGGGCACTTCAGAGGGTCTCTTCAGGCTGGCCTCAAACTAGGGAGTTAAGGATGATCCAAACTCTGGAGCTTCCTCACCCCACCTCCCAAATGCTGGGATTTCAGGGAAGGCCAACATAGCCTGTTTAGTATTTTATTTTGTGGGGTCTCACTGTGTAGGCCAGGCTGGACTTGAACCCTCCAAAATAATCCTGTCTCAGCTTCTCCATGCCGGGATTGTGGTAACGTTTTAATGTATCCTATTCTGATAGGAACCAAGAGGACGTGTGTGTTTGTGTGTATGTGCAGGGCACTTTAGTACAGTCAGCCCTGTCTAGGTCCGGCCGTCTCCACCCCCAGTGGCGGAGCACCGGAAACCCCTAGGCGGTCTGGGAGGATGGGGGTAGGCTAAGCCACTTCCCGCAGACGGGCCCGGCGGTTCCAGTGACAGGATGGACGGTGAGGACCCCTCCCCAGCCTAGCTGAGGGTGGAGAGGCTCCAGTCTTCCTCATCCCTTTAAGAACTCGTGGGTCGGGACTCAGTGGGGAACTAGAAATAGCCCACATTTCCAGCAGCGGAATCAGGTTGAGTCTTCAGGGAGTGTGTTATTCACTTCGCAGGATGGAGGCGAGAAGCCGGGTGGGGGATGCTCCACCGCGCCTTCCTGCCCTCCAGGTCAGCGGAAGCCGGCGGGGGCGGCGCTTTCCCGGAGCCCCGGGCCGCCTCCATCAGGCACCTGTAGCTTCTGGGCTGCCGCCC